CCCCCCACCTCCCTGGGGGGCCGGCCGGTACAGCCATGGCCAGCAGGCAGGGCACCACTGTCTGGTGGTAGTACCAGCAGCCCTCCGCATCCTGCTGGCACTGCAGGGCCACACGGTGCAGGCTCTGGCACACAGAGACCACGTCCTGGGCGTTCCTGGCCTTGTTCCCTGCAGGGCACAGTCATCGTCACATCAAACAGCCGCAGCACCCCCACCCCGATCTTCGCCGGGATCCCGGTGCAATGCAGCCCTCCCTATTCCCCCCTCCACTGGGGGGATTCACAGCCAGCCCCGGGGGCCTCACCCTACTGCCAGCCCTGGGGGCCTCACCCTACTGCCATCCCCACTCCCTCTCAGCCATCCCTGGTAACGGAGGCAGCTCCTGCCCAGACGTGCTCCGTGCAGCTGCCCGTCGTGGGTTGCGTTACCTTTCTGCACCTTCCGGAGATGCTGCAGCAGGACAGGGACAGTCTCCCTCACGATGCTGGTGTGGATAGATACGGCTGCCAGGGCCTGCAGGCAGCGCTGCTGCAGGGAGCAGTGGTCGCGGGAGCTCTCCTCCTCCCGCTCTGAAGAGGAAACACACCTCAGAGGGGTGTTGGGGTGACCCCAGGCCCCCCTCACCCAAGGGCATTCAGGGCCCAGACCCTGCCAGGGTGGATGGGGTGAAGCAGCACAGCAGAACTAGCCTGTGCCAGGCCCAAGGCGCTCCGACCGCTCTGTGGCTAGGCAGCTCCTCACCGCAAGGGTGATCCCGGCCGCGAGGCTGCTTGCCAGCACCAGGCACGGCCTTCCCTGTGCCAGCACCACAGTGCCTGTGCTGGGAATCCCCCAAGAAGGAGAGCCACCGACCTATGCCGTGTGGCACAGCCCTGCTGGCTGGTAGGAGCCAAACGGGGATGGGACAGGCTTCACCCCAAAACCAGACATCACTCCCTTCCCAAGGCCGCCAGCCCTACCTGACTGCAGCTCCTCTTCAAGCCTGGGTACCATGCGTCCAGAGAA